TTATCATATTTATTCCATCTCTACGCATTCTCACATTAGTTTATAACTTACCTTAGATTAACTGATTTTTCTGGTGTCAAGTGTCTCCAGCTTTATATAACATTTTTGTGCTTTTTTGGTTACGGTCATAGGAATTGACTTGTGGACACTGGTATTTAAGTTAGCCATAAGATCTATTTCGTTGGTCAACATCGCTTTGCATGGCTCCTTTTTGCGAAACCAAAAGTGGATTCCATCATTATGAGATACATGTTCGAATGAGATATACTTTAAAATCCACCACAATTAATTTCAATAACTCAACTATCAGTACCTGCAGCTGCATTTTATTAACAGCCTACACTATCAGCTGGAAAAATTGGTTTTAGTTTATGACGCGATTCATTTGCACATTAAGTTCACTATGCCTGGAGGTCCTCTCAGAAATAAAGATACGCTTAACTCAACGGTGTAAGTGTGCCTTTTCACTTAATCGGAAACAGACAGAGTTGGGGCTTTGGGACACAAAAGGGATTTTCAATGCACTCTCTGTCACTTATTTTGAATAGACACGTTCCATTTAAATTGGTTGTTGGCTGATAGGGTCGACTAGCATAAATGGCCAACTAGCCTCAACTCGCGAATTTGCTAATCCTTTTCTGCCGCTAATCTGGCTGCTCAACATTCTTTGATCCCAGGATCCCTAGATTAGGGCAGGGAGAAAAGCATTTCACCTCTCCACAGGGTTCTGTCCATTTTTTGCCAGCTCCTCAACTTTACCTGGCCAGCAGCTGTACTTACGACTTGACCTCCGGGCTAAGCTCTCTGATTAACCAGAAGTAGTGAGATAACCTTAACCTCAGAAACAAGGCCTCGATCAGATGGTTGGTGCCGGCTTTCTGCCACAAAGGCTGATCTAATTGTCGGCTTTGCCTTTCGAGGCGAAATAAGATGTAACCACTTTTGACTAACCGTCGTCAGGGTGAACACCTGCATAAACGACGCACTCCGGGTTTCATGTGCATTGGACTAGAGGCCTGTCTTCTCCGAGTGCCCTAAAAGAAGACAACCATACAATGGACGAGTTGAGGAGTAATGTGCTTGTATGGACAGCCTCACTTGACTGAGATAATTGTTGGACTTCGTTCTGTGTTGATGGCAGCAAATGGGTTCTTTGTAAGGAGGCGTATTTTGTGCATGCCTGCTTGTACAAGCTCAGTACTTGTACTTATTCAAGGCAATGTTGTAAGGATGTAGGACACATGCAACACTGCAACGCAAGCCCCTATATAGGCTAAATTATAGCTTGCATACTTTTTGCTTCTAATCATTTCAACTTGTGTCGCCATCACAAGGACCGCCATATCTTCAATTGACTCGACGGCTTGCAGTCGTGTTCGGCGAATGGAAGACGACTGTATCCTCAAGCTTGCTGAATCCGTAAATAATTCAGTATAGTCTACTTTTCCCTTGGGCTTTTGGATTCGGCGCTGCACCGGCTAAGTTGCTGTTGAGTTCTTCTTCTGTGACAGCAGTCAGTGCATAAGAGGGAGTCTAGGCAGACTGGAAAGAGGCCCAAAACTCTAAAGACCGGTACTCACGGGAAGAGAATTCAGCCGATACTGCCCAGACCTCTGGGCACACAATGCTTCCGCTTTACCCTCAGTTTTCAGCCAACCTTTTCCGCCTCGAGCTCATCCCCACTGGCCTTCTAATGCGCAGCACACACGTCTGTCTTGGCCTGCGCCTCTGCCTGATGCTGGTTCTCCTCTTCATTCTGAATGGGCCTCAGCCTGCAGCTGCTCAATTTCCACGGGTCTGTGCATGGAATCTGACCAGGCAACTACCTGCCATTTGTTGTCCTGTGCCAGAGGGTAAGTCGCCCACTAGGGAGTTTGGTTCATTTCGAATATGAATCACAAGAGCCAACTTACTGATGAACGAGCCTGACCAGTACAGTCTAAATTGTTGTCAATGTAGCCTAAATACAAAATAATTCAGCCTAGGTCGCTTAAAGTGATGCAAGGACCGACAGTTGGAGTTCTCCACAATTAAATCAGTTGGCCTCACAACGCCATTCAGCTTTATTTATATGCGAATAAAAGTTGGGTTTCGAGGAATCTCTTGTTTCATAATTGTTGAGCTTACATCCATTTCGAGTCAGAAGTGTTGAGTGAAGATATTCGAAGGTCGCTTCCACCAGAAGACGACGGCGGATTTCTCTTAAACAGCTGTCGATTGGCTTTACTGGTAACTTCCTTCGATTTCGGTGAAAAGGTGCTATGCTTTCGTTTGTAATAAGACGAATGAAAGCTTAGCACCTTTTCACTGGAATCGAAGGAGATTACCTCGGAAACAACGTCAGCATGAATCTTCCGGTAAAGCCAATCGACAACTGGTCAAGAGAAATCAGCCGTCGTCTTCTGGTGGAACCAACCTTCGAATCTCTTCACCCAACATTTACACTCGAAATGGAAGTAAGCTCAACATCTTTGCTTAGCCTTGCCTCCAAAAGACTTTCTCATCAAGACACGAAACGGTATTTGAAACCAAGTCGTACACGTCTGGACGACAAGTTACAATTTCCCAATGCATTCAAGGGGCCAGGAGGCCACAGAGCATATGTGGCCTTCATGTTTATAGTGGAGCTGTCGATGAGACAAGCGTCTACTTGCTATAATAATCTATCAGAATATTCATTATCAAGTTGAGTATGTTTAGAAAAAATCAGTTAATCTTGGACGAGTACGTAATCTTACTAGGTCCAGAAACTCAAACATGTCTGCTAGAATCGTGATAAAGCAAGCAGTATAACTTAGTTAAAATCAAGTGGACCTATGAATTTATTCGATAAGAGTTCTTTCTAGTCTATCTAGTTAATATAATGTGATGGAGGACGGATAGTTGAATTTTTCCCATAATGAGATGGGTAGGTCTTACGTTTTTATTGAATTTTACATAGCGTTGCTTCCAAAAAATGTTCTTATCCAGGGTGGACTGCATTTTTGGCCTCACCTGGGTCTCATCATCATCCCTGGCAGAAATCGAACTCCTTTACCTAGAATTTCTCACTTCGTGATCAGCTTTTAAAATTAAATCCTTCATTTAAGCAAATAAATTTAAATTTAAATTTAATTTCGAGAAAAAGGAATTTTTAAAGTTATCCTTATTTCTTGCATAAGGTGACTTAAGAAATATGAGATTAATTTTCCTGCAAAGTAACGCGGGATGCCAAGTTTTTAGTGTTCCCCTGGCGCTCGTTATCAAGATTGATTACGTGTCTCCATCATTCGCATGACGCGGTTTGGAATTCCTCAAAGGATTGATAATTAGACAAAGTTGAGGTCATAATTACGTTCAAGTTCAGCATGAATGCGAAAACATTTTGCATAGAAAAACTTCGAGAAATTCATTGGCATCGTGAGGCCCATTCATTTCATTTTGTAATACTCCACTAGTAATATATAATTTAGCTATGGTGAATAGGAATAACTGATATCTGCTGTCATAGAAAATCATCTAAGAGATAACTTTAAAGAAACTTTTCTAACAAAATGATTTAACTTTAACCACCAATAACCAAATGAGAAATCATTAGGTTTTGTCAATCCAAAGCAAGTTATGATGAATGTCATCAAATGCCATTTTGGTGTTGTGTTGCTGTCATCTCTAACTTCTTGAGCCGTGCGATTTTAAAGCTATTATCAAAGCGCTGTAACAGCCTGATAAATTAGAGTCCAGGCAAATTGTATTCTAGAAGGTTTATTGCTTTGTAGAGTCCAATAAAATAACACGAAAGCAATATCTTATGCTGTGATTCTACAAGGCTCATGCTTAACAGACAATATGTTAGTCATGTTGGAATGCCTTTCATTTTGTTTGAAGAGGCGAATGCAAGGGATTCGTAATTTGGCCTCACTAAAAGCTGTAGGGGAATTGCCTTACGAATCCCATCCATTCGCCTCTTCAAACGAAATACAAGGCATTCCAACATGAACTTGTTAAGGGATTGTTGCAAAACCAGTTTTTCCACATATTTTCTGTCAGTCACTTATGCGTACTTCACCGAGTAGATTGATCAGGAAATGCAGGATTAGTAGTTTTTCATAACATAGGAGATAAATGAGAACTCTTAATATTAATGTCAATTTTGGTGTTTGCGGAGGCAGGATTCATTCAGTATGCAACTCATGATAAGAAATAGCTGAAATTGTCAGAACTAATATCAGATATATACGAAGAAAATGCTGGTTTCGAAAGTTTTTACAACGATCTAATATCTTCTTTCTTCACGAGAACAATATTTTGCTTTATCCCAATTATATAGTGAAGGGTAAAAGAGAAACTTTCTACGATAAACTCCGAAGTATGCCATCGAGACTGCCGATCACGGTCCCCGAAACACGTCTCTCAAACAAAACTCTCCCCTTTTTGAAACGAAGAAGTATTATTAAAAATTTTAATAATTGTTGGGCTCACTTCCATTTCGAGTGAAAGTGTTTCGTGTAGGTCGATCCTACCAGTAGACCATAGCAGGTTCCTCTTGACCGGCCGTCAATCGGCTTTACTGGAGTATTCTTGCTGACACTGTTTTGCAGGCAATCTCGTTCGATTTCGGCGTAAACTTGCGAAGATTTCTAGAAGTTGTTTGACCTTTGTTTTGCAACTTGGTCATATTAGCAGGAAAACCTATAGGGACCAGGACAAAATAAGGAGTGGTAGCATAATCGTCTCGACAGAAAGTTGGTCAAGCTTTTGAATTCACTTGTCTCTTTGACAATTTGTAGCTTGGTTTGCTGAGAATGACAAGACTCACTGATGATGGCAACTACGAGGTCGGCGAAACGTCTGGGATTGTACCAAGTCCACAGTCCGACTCTGTAAATGATCATGCATACTATGGACTCCGGACAAGGTGTGTTCCTCTGGGTCTTCCTGCTTGTAAACATTATAGTGCTAAGATTTCGTCCGCCGTATGACGGATATCCTCAAAGCAGTGTATCATTCTTACAACCATATAAAAATTAATGAGTCAAGAAAAATCACAGGCTCATCCCTAATTGTTGTTTATATATACTTTATATAAACTCTTTGATAAAGTAGAAATTGAGTTGGCTAGTTCAAGTCCATGTCAACCTGTGGTTGAGTACGTGCTTGCATGCACTCGAATATGTATGAAGTCAGTAGTGATAGCTCAAATCAATTGGAAAAGAAAAAGTGAAGTCAGTTCTAGGTCATCAAGGTTTGCTGACCACCACCAGCCCCTCTCTCTATATGTTTTAATCATCACTCCGATTAAGCAAGGTCGGATACACTTATGGTTATGTTGCTGAGATTTTTGTCTTCGTGTTGGAGAGAAAAAATGGACTAAAAAATACTGAAAAATGACTATGGTTAGGGCTAAGATAGGTAAATAAAAGACTAATTGAGTCTTCTCGTCTTTGCAGGCGAGTCAACAATATCTCTATCCTTGAGTCCATTAATTAACGAAGAAACTGCGGGTTACGAAGAATATCATAAGATAAGATTGATGTAAAGAATTTCTTTTTGTATGGAAGTACATGACGAAGAGAGTATCAGGTCAATTTCACCCTCCATCACCTGTCTTCGCCAAAAACGTTGGAAGATGTCTCATGGACTGCATCAAATTGTACGTCATATTTCGGTCAAACGGCCGCAGTACAATGCGAATCAGCCGGCGTCTTCTGGTGAGATTAACATACGAATCTCTTTATCATGTACTTACATACGAAATAAAAATTTTTACATCAATCTATTAATGAAGCATAAGTAGCTTTTACCTAACTTCTTGCCGGAATCCGCTACATTCTTTGTATTGCCTAGTCGGTTAATTTCGAAGACCACTCTAGTCTTACATTTAGCCTCAGCAAAATGACAAACTTGAGACCATTCAGTCGCATGTCCAGTTTCTGCCCTGTGCCCAGCTAGCTCTGATTTCATAACACAACAGCCTCTACAGGCGCCTTTGTGCTCAGCTACTCTCTGTCGAATGGGACGACCAGTCTCTCCAGCATAAAAGCCACCATATGAATACAGTATTTTATAGCTACCCTATCTGGAGAATGGGTCAAGGATAGAGGAATGCTTCTTGGCAAAGGTAAGAGGGATACCAAATCTGTTAGCTAGCTATATCTATGACTACTTTGTCGTATGGCAGCATAGCAAGGATAGCTCAGATAAGTTATTGTTCTTAACTGACCAGAATGATTGTAAGTTAAGTTGAAAATGGAGATAGAGAAGGGCAATAAGTTATCTTTCTGGAGGCTTCAGTGATCAGAGCAGGGGAGAAGTTAAGCAGAGATGTGTATACGAAGCCAACACATGTTGGCCTTATTTTTCAGTTTCTTCTCCAACCATATTTGATAACAAAACTTGGCGTTTCAAAATTTTTGAGTATACAGAGCATATGACGAGCTGACAGAGACCATTGCGATAATAGACTGGATCGGCCCAAAATACTATTATATGAGAATAATTATCCCCTAGGCATGATTAGATGCAACTGTGGGACGATAAAAAGTACAGCAGACGAAAGTTTAGAAAGTTATCACCGTAGTTGAAGAAGATTGCCTCGGAAACAGCGTCAACAAGAATATTCAAATAAGTCCAATCGACAGCTGGTCAAGAAAGATCCGCCATTGTCTTCTGGTGGGATTGAGCACAAAAATCATTAATAGAGTCACAAATGCAACACAACTTCCAGGAATGAGCCCAGGCAGGAAGAGATCGAGTCACAAACAGCTCCCCTGATGCCAACGGTTGAGCTCAATGACGATTGCTGACATGTGAAGTCTGAGCTATCTGCCTTGCCGTACGTCAACATTCATATGGACCTCCTGTCCTCCCCCATTGCAACAGTCTGTCCGGATTAACACTTTCGGAAAGTCGACTCATTAATCTCTATAGCGATCGCCCTAGTCTGATATCCAATCCCTTTATCTTAAAGTATCCAACATAAGTGCGATCTCTTTACTATCTCCAGTAAAACACGTTAAATAATCACTGTCGAAATAGCCTATAAATAAGCTTTAAGTTGGTACATAGGGGCCAAAAGAAGCGGCTTCTATCCTAGCATTCTTGGAATAAATTAAGATATCAACATGTTGGGGTCTAAGCAGCATCAGGTATATAGTCCAAAATGAAGTAAACTTGAAAATAAACCAGAATAAATCAGCCCAAAGCGTTAAAGCAAATCTACAAATAAAAACGCGTTGAGCTCTTTTCCATTACGAGTCAAAGTGTGTGATAAGTAGGTTTTTACATCGACCTCATTAGAAAATGTCCATAAACTCCCCTTTGCCATCCTTCGGTTAGTTTTACTGGTCACAATTCTGGTTGACGCCATCCTCGGGACAAAGTCCTGCGGTTCAAGTGAAAAGATGTTGAGCTTTGTCTGTCAGATCAGTTGACATATTTCATGACAGCTTGACATAATTCTTACAACTTATCTAGTGCTAACAAATCAAGAAAACTTGGTATGTTCTTTGAAGGATAATAATTTATCACATTTGCACTAGGAGCACAAAAGAACAGTTTTCGTATTGGGAGGAAGGCCTAGAGGAACTCACCTTGTCCGGAGTCCATTGTATGCATAATCATTTCCAGAGTAAGACCGTGGACGTGCAACATTCCCAGACGTTTTGCAGGGGGGGGGCGTAATAATGTCTCGAGTAGCACAGATGGGATGGCAGGGGTCGAGTGAAATACGTGTACGAGGGAGATAGCAGACGGATTCTACGGGGCAAGAGGGAGATTTTGAAACCCATGGAAGGAGGACTACGTAACAATATGACAGACTCTGATCAACATTCCCAGGACAAGGGTGAAGGGGGGTGAGAATGCTACCATAAGTGTGGAGGGCTTTCATGAAAGCCGCTCAAAAGAGCACACCACACTACATATAAATAAACACAGTACAAATTGTAACAGTGAAGGCGTGATACGAGGATATATGAAATGTGAATTGGCCAGGGCAGAAGAAGATCTACCACAACGGTTAAGAACACGTTTGGTATAAGGATCAGCTCCACTTGTCTCTCATGACTTGTAGTATGATGTTACGAATGGCAAAACTCAAAGAAAATGCCGGCGAGACGTCTGGGAATGTACGACACCCACAGTCCGACTTTGGAAATGATCATGCATACAACGGACTCCGGACTAGATGCGTTCCTCTAAGTTTTCCTACCAATATGACCAAGTTGCGAAAACAAGGTCAAACAACCTCT